CTATTCCAGGTGCTAGAAAAATCCCGAGATTTTAGGCTCTGTCTATAATTGGCAATTATGCTGGCCAGGATCTGAGTGTGTGAAGTCTAGATTACATTTAAAAATACACTGCCGTCTAGTCAGTTCTGACTCACAGCAGTAACTCTGTAGGACTGGGTATAATCACTCCATGGAGTTTCCAGGACTATGAATCTTTACAGAAGCAGAATGCCTCATCTGTCTTCAGCGGAGCAACTGGTGGATCCAAACCATTGACCTTTTGGTTAGCAGCTGAATACTTTACCTGCAGTGCCATAACCGGGGATCTGTGAATAGTTCCACACACCTTGAAATTAATCATAATCATGCAAACATTCATTTATTTGACAAATAGCGAAATAAGTCCAGTTTGCCAACATTGGGCCAGACTCTGGGGTCCCAATAGTGAATAAAGACAAATGTAGTCCCAGTTCCCAGAAGGTTTGCAATCTTCAAAGGGAGGCATTAATCAGTTGAGCACACCTACCAGTCTACCCAGTAGCTGCTGAGTTGATTCCGACTCTTGTCAGCTTTACCTCTTAGAGTAGAGCTGTTCTCCATGCAGCTTTTGGTAGCTAACTTTTCTGATTAGACCAACAGGATTTTCTTCTGTTTTCTCCCCACCCCCCACCCCCTTGCTGTGTACCATCAAATTGGATCCACCTGGCACAGGGGTAGATTGCTACATCTTCTCCAGTGGAGCATCTGGTAGATTCGAACCACAAACCTTTGGGATTTCAACGCAGGCTCTTGCCACTAGGCTACCAGAACTCCCTTCAGGCTTTTCTTCTGAGGTGCCTCTGGGTGGAGTCAAACCTGCAAATCTGTTGCTTAGCAGTCAAGGGAGTTAACAGCACCACCCGGATTTCATCTCTCCATATGGAAATGCAATTGAGATCAGGCTGATGAGTGAGAGAAACACACTCTTGGGACCCTGTGTAACCTGGAGGTTTCAAGAGCTTTCCCTGAAGATATGAAGCTTAACTTTAAAGTGAACAAGAGGGTGAGGGCGGTTAAGTGTTTAACAAAGCTGTGGGGTTCCCAAGGCCTGCTTGGGCTATGGGCAGTATAGAGGACTTCCTCCATTTCTCTTCTCTCTCCTGCCAGGTGGACCAACGTGCTGAAAGTAAAATAGAGTCTTTGGAATGCTGGTTCTTGGTAGGGCTGCCAAGAGAGGATTTGGGCTTTGTTTTGGTAGAGGTAGTGGTGGTAGGTGGGCAGATGGAGAGAGGCCATGAATTATAATTATAGCGTGGATACACTGGAGACCCAGTAAACTCTAGCTGAAGTCCTGGGTCAGCTTCTTCCTCCAGCTCTGTGCTTTCAGCATGTCTCAGAGCCTCACGGACTTATCTGCATAATGGAGTGAACCATCTTGTCCCACCATGCCCTTACCTCAGTCAATTAAAACTTAGACATTACCAGGTGCCCAGGGGACAGTGCTGGAATAGATAGTTTTATATGGCTCTGCAGGCTCAGGGGGGAAGAAAAAAGATAAATAAGAGCTAATTATGGTTATTAAGATTAAGGGACTTTTCAAGCAGTTCCAATAAAGAAAGGTTAAAGATTCCAGCATGGTGTTGCTTACAGAGAAAGCACTCAGAGAGGCACTCAGGCTTATTTTCCCAGGATTGAAGAGTAAGAATTACTTGCAGCATATAATTATGCTTTCCCTAATTTCACTGACAATAGAAAGAGGAAACTGGCTTGAGATGCAGGTAAAAGGAAAGAATTGGGATTGTGGTCAGTAGAATTCATGGGTTTGGGGAAGTTTGGGAGAAAGAAAAACTGATATTTCCATTGAACTTGGGACTCTTTCCAAGCCCATTTTTAGCTCCAGCACAGTGTGAGAGATCCTATTCTAGCAAGCCTAGGCTGTGGGTTCTGGGGACCTTAGCATATTGTACTGATAACCCAGAAGCTGGGTTATCTCCAGAACTTCGAATCTCCAGGAACTCTACAGGAGAAAAAGATACAGTCTCCTCTTGTAATTTACAACCTCAGAAACCTGATTGAGGGTCCTGGTTGGCACAGCTAGATGTTGGGTTAGTAACCAAAGGGTTGATGGTTCAAAACCCACCTATAGGCACCTCAGAATAAAGACCTGGAGATATGCCCCTGAAAGTTCATAGCCTTGAAAACTTTACGAAGCATAGTTTCTTCTGAAACACATGGCATTGTCATGAGTGGAATTATCAGTAAAGTAATCTGTGTGCTGAGGATGGGGTGGGAGGGAAGATTATACAGGAATTATAAAGTCCTAGAACCTGGGTAGGACAGGAACTGGGGTTTTCATTCTTCCCCAGTATGATGTCTGTTCTTCCAAATGAAGCTAATAAACTTCTTGCTTGCAAAATTAATTCCCTCCTCACCCCACGTTCTCTTTCTGTAGCTTTTGAGACATCTGGTTTATAGACTGTTGATAAGCCAGATATCCTGCTGCATGCTAAGCAGATGCACTTCTAAAATCTTTGCACACTTTTTCATGCTCCTTCCTATTTTTAAAAACCCATTCATATTTAATTTAATTCTTCCAAATGGCTTCCTCATCAGCCTGTCTTCCCACTTTGTAATGCATCATAGTCCCTCTTATGCACATACTTGCCAAATTAAACTTTATGGTTTATCAGCTAGAAGATTACCATAGGATCATGCCAAGTGTTCTTGCAAGTGACATTATAGGCTTTCACACCTGCCAGCTCATTTTTATTGTTCACATGGGTATATACCTGCTTCCCCACAAAGCTCTGTGCTTATAGTCTTCAGCTGTCAGTCACTCACACACAAGCAATTTTGTGTAAGGCCTTCCTTTGCTCCTAGGTAGCTGGGAGGACCAAGAAGGATCTGCTGGGGATTTAATGAACTTCTGGGGGAATCCTCATTTGGAGACTTGGATTGTTAGGGTATAAGAGGATACTCACTCTAATTTTGCAGGTCAGCCTTGGCTGGGGGTCACTGCACATCTGGCAGAAGACCAGGGGACAGTAAAGGGCTCACTCCATAAGTTCACCCCATGTACTTCCTTCCTTGTGAGCTTCTTGCCAGTCCAGGGTGCACATCCTGTGTTTGTTTATGAACACCTTAGATCATTGTGTCTTGGGAAAGTTGATGGACTGACACATTACTTATAAGTCAGTTAGCATCTTTACCGGTAAGTTGATGCTATTGCACTGAAAACCCCATCGTATGGAGTAGAAACTGCTGATAGGATTTCCTAGGCTGTTTGGTAAATAGCTGATACTTATCAAACCAGGTCACAAATTTTTTTTCTCCCATAGAATGAGTGGTGGATTTGTATCATCAACCTCTCATTTAACAGCATTTAAGCACTGAGCCACTAAGGTGCCTTATATGCTAGCCTATAGATTAGATTTTACAGTATATATTTTGGGGGACATGACACAACATGATAACATTAGGGAAGGTAACAATCTCATGCCTCATCTCTCAGATGGGGTTCGTAATGCCAACTTTAAAATGTTGTCATGACAGAATGATTGTATGAAAAATCAATATGATTTGTAGATTCAAATTTTAAAAAGTCATGAGAATGAAATGCAAATAAAGATATACCTATATATAACATGCATATAGATGAAGTGGTCATTCTCATAAAGATTTACAGCGTTAGAAATTTATGAGGCAGTTCTACTCTGTCTTTAGGTTTGCTCTTAGTAAGCATCAACTCTGAGGCATTGGATTTAATATGTTATTGTTGCTGTTAGGTGCCGTTGAGTCGAATACAACTCATAGCGACCCTGTTAACAACCTGTCTGAACACTATCCCATCCTGTGCCGTCCTCACAATCTCTGACACGCTAAGGTCCATTGCCGCAGTCACTGTGTCAGCCCACCTGGTTCAGGGTGTTCCTCTCTTTTGCTGTTCCTCTACCTGCCTAAGCATGATGTCCTCTCCAAGGGACAGTCTCTCCTAGCAACATGTCCAAAGAATGTGAGACAAAGCTTCATGATCCTTACTTCCAAGGTGCATTCTAGCTGCACCCTCTTCAAGACTTATCTGTTTGTGCTTTTGGCAGTTGATGAGATCTTTAGCATTCTTCTACAACACCACAACTCAGAGGCGTTGATTCTTCTTCTGTCATCCTCATTCCTTATCCAGGTCTCAGATGCATGCAAAGTGACTGAAAAGACCATGGCCTGAATCAGGCACACCTTTAAACTTCAAGCCAAATCATTACTCCTCAACAGTTTAGAAAGATCTCTGACTACAGAATTTGCCAGTGTAATCCTTTTCTCAATCCTTTTTCCATCCATCATGATTTTGCCTGTTGGTCCAATGGTGATTACATACACTTACACAACGTATTTTACTTATACACACTCTGTATGTAATGTTATATATAGTGTTCCATAGAGTTGGAACTGACCCATAGCTGATGCTCCAGTGGGTTTTAAAAGGTAGTTAATCGAACAGGAGGAAACTGCCCATCCTTCTCCCGCAGAGCAGTCGGTGAATTTAAACTGTGTGCCTTTGGGATTGCAGTGCAGTGTCTTACACTTAGGCCCCCAGAGCTCCCTATGTGTGCATATAAAAGTACATACGGATATGGTAGGTAGGTAGGTAAATATGGAGCCTGGTGGTGTGCATTATGAGTCAGGCTGTTAACTTAAAGATTGACAGGTTCGAATCTACCAGACACATTTCAGGAGAAAGATGTATAATCTCATAAAGATTTACACTCTTGGAGACATAGCGGAGACAATTCTGAATTGACTTGGTGGCAATGGGTGCACACAAACACATAATCTACGGCAATTGTTCTAATATTCAAAAGGAGTAGTTCAGTGAAGCTGTGAGGATAAAAAAGTTTGATACAGGTTTCCGTAGAAGTGCTCCCAACTCTAGGCAGATTTGGTGGGTTTGTTCATTTTTTTGTCAGAAGGCTCTCGAGTCTAAGATAGCCCTCACCTGCACCCTCACGATCATCGGTGTTAACTGCTACAGTCTGGATTGTTTTCAGAGGCTCCATAAGGAGTTGCCACTCAGCCTGGAAGAGCTGGAGGATGTGTTTGATGCCCTGGATGCTGATGGCAATGGTTTTCTGACCCCAGAAGAATTTACCACTGGATTTAGTAAGTTCTGATGAATTCTGAGGACCCAAGATATTGGGTCTACACAAATCTGTATAAGATACAACTCTGCCTCCTTGAAGACCATGTAGTTTGAGCTTCCCTCATCTCCTTTTAGGGAACTAGAGCTGAAAGTTTTCAAACTATTAGCTATTTGGCTCTCTTTGCACATGTCCAACTCATCTGCTGACCCAGCCTCTCCTAGTGACCATGCACTGGGATTGCCTAATGCCCTCTCCCCAGAGAATGGAAGGGGAAAAGGGAGTTCTAGTGAAGACTTGGGAAACTGAGATGAGAATTTTAGCCTCTACATTTTATCCTTGGAGCCAGTACACAGCAAAATTGGACAATTAAGTAGATGGCTCATTCCAACCTGCATCTGGGTGAGTCTTACAATTTGATAGATACCACCTATCAAAGGAATTTCTTGAGGACTTGGACAGATTAGTCAATCTTAAGATAACCAAAAGAAAAAAGAACTGAGATAGGTCCTTTTTCAGATCAGATATTGACCACACATTGATCAGAACAGGTATTGATCAAATGAATCAGCAAGCTACTTAGCTTGCCATACGTGTGCCTCATACACAACAAAGGCTACTTAGAATTATCTGATGCTTTCCTTGATTTTCAGAAACTAATCATTAACCTGTGAAGACAAGACAAATTGCTCTAATACTAGAGAGTACAGATATGGAAAAAGTAAATCTCACTCGGTTAAAGCACTAACTCATTGCTGGAACTGACTCATAGCAGAGCTTTCAGTGGGTTTTCAGAGGCTGTAAATTGTATGGAAGAAGACTGCCCATCTTCTTCCCAAGAAGCATCTGATGGATTTGAACTTCCTGCCTTTGAGTTGGTAGGACAATTCCTTATCCACTAGGCCACCAAAGGTCCCTCCCAAATTGTTAAGCACCTTGAAATGGCTAGAACAGCAGCAGTGATACTGATTTTGATGATGATTAGGACAAGCTTGGAAGCAGGAGTGGCATCCACTTCTGAAATAGCTTGCCTACAGAAACCCTCCAGAACCTGGAGAAAGGATGAAAGTTATACAAGTGTCCAGGTCTTTAGGGTCGCTATGAGTCACCTACAACTCAACGGCACTTAGCAACCACCACAACAGGATGACTGTGTACAGCAAAGGCAGTCCAGATCCTGAAGGGTAGTAAAGAGAAAGATTATGTTACTTTGGAAAGATGTCACCAAGAAGAGGGGTTCTAAGCCAGGCTTTAAAAAACTGTCAACCTCAAAGGCTCTATAAGAGCTGTCTTGCATTCTGCTTTTCCTAGGTCCCAGCCTTTCCGGAAGAATGTTTGTGAAAATGAGAAAGACCAGGGGTTAGATACAAATCTAAACATGATATCCAATAGGGTATTTTCATTTTTCTTCTCTCAAACGATTCCTGTTGACTGAGAAAGCTACAGTCTTCCTGGGTTAGGTGTTGGCTAATTCAGATCCCCATGCCTTGCTTCCCCAGGTCACTTCTTCTTCAGTCAGAGCAACCCAAGTCAAGAAGATGCAGCTGAGCAGGTGGCCCAGCTCCAGGAAGAGAAGGTGTATCAGTTTGGAGGGGAAGAGTATCTAGGTGACATGGACGAGAATGAAGAAGCCCAGTTCCAGATACTGATGGAAAGACTTGGAGCCCAAAAGGTTTTGGAAGAGTAAGTTGTGACAGTAATTTAGGGGATGAGTCTCCAAAGGGTCTCTTCATCTGCTCCATTCAACACACAGACGTTGCTAAGCATTCAGCCCAACTCCTGTGCTGCGTCCTGCCAGCTCATGAGCTTTGCTTTGTCCCGCCATCTGCAGTGCACCCTACCACTTACTGGCTACTTTCATGCTCTAGAGCTCTGTTTGTGCTTTGTGTATTTTTTCACGAGAAGCAATCCTATGCTCCTGCCCCTACTCCCTGCTCTTCTCACTCATTGTTATGTATTGTCTTTTGCCCTCATTGGCTCTGTCTTGCTCATCTATGAGTGCTCATATATCAGGTCTATGCCACACTCTGAGGGCCTTTCAGGGAGCTTGGCCAACAGCTTTCTAACAAGGCCAGCTCTGTAGCATTTTGATCTTCCTTGGAGCCAATCTGTCTCTGGGGCTGCAGTGCAGGACTGTTCCTCAAATCACCTCATGGAGAAATGTCTGCACACTGCATTCCTAAACCAAACCAAGCCTGGACAACGAGCTAAGGCAAGATATCAGCCAGTTTTCTTCACCAGCCCACCACTTGGATGGTCAGTGACTCAGCTGAAAGTTTTAGATGGGAAGAACTTTAAACAAATTGCTTAGATTTTCCCCATCAAAATCTTTGGGAATATAGAGTCAGATCTCATAATAAGATCTAAGACTTGACATTACTTTCAAAAAGTGATGTGGTTTCTATTGGAAACCAGACAGTGGACTTGAAAAACACCTCTGTTCTCTTATCCCATTGCCTTTGTCTTTTTAATTTTGGAGTCCTTAGGTTAAAAACCCTGGAGACATTGTGATTAAATGCTTAGCTCCTAACCGAGAGATTTGTTGTTTATACTCAGAAGAAGCTGTCAAGGAGAAGAGAACCAGATCTTTGATCCTGTGAAGATTACTGCCCGGGAAGACCTTGGGGACAGATCTATCCCATCATGTTGGGTTCCTATGACTCAAGATAGATTCCATTGCCTATGACAATAAAAATTGGCCTGAGGTAGAATCCCTGGATAATGCAAATGGTTGTCGTTAAGCTGCTAACCAAAGGATGGAAGGTTTGAGTCCACCCAGGGAGACCTCAAAAGCAAGGCCTGATGGTCTAGTTGGGAAGAACCCACCACTGAAGACCTGTGGAGCACAGTTCCGTCTTGACACACATAGGATCCCTGTGAGTCACGGCTGACTCCACAGCAGGTGCTTTTGTTAGGTCCTGGGTTGTGTGTGTGTCATGAGGGCTGGGAATGACCTAGCGATTACAGCTGATGGACAGAAGGGGCTGTAGTAGGTATTGGTAAAAAGGAAGTACGGAGGAACCTCCTAGGAAGCTCTGTGCAGGAAGTGAAACTTGATAGTATCAGCTCCTCTTTGGGACTGAAGGGCATTGATACAGCCTAGGGTTATTAAAGGGTGGAGGAGGGAGGGCTCAGGTGAGTCAGTCACACACTTGACTCAGCTTCTTCAAGAGGCCAGAGCCCACAGACCACTGCGAGTGATCCCTTGAAGCCTCCTCCAGGGCAAAGAGGAAGATGAGGGCACAGCTGATGAGGACAGGCACAGTTATTGGAGAAAAGCGATGGTACATTATCCATTCACCCCTGACTTCCCCGGAAGTTGTTTTCCTGGTGGGTTCTCAAGTCTCACCAGATGTTATTCCGCGGACCATTGCCAGATGCCTGTGCACACCTGAGCCAAAATGAGATGCCTGGCCAAGAGGAGGCTCTGGGGAGGTTTCAACAGCAGTCTATGAAGATGACTACACAGAGTATGATGACAAGCAATTTCCTTCCTTTTGGAAGTCGAAACGTGAAGGAAAAACGGTCTTAAGTTGCAGCATGAGAGAATCATTCATGACCTTGGGACTCAGATCGGGAAATAGAGGAGGTGGTGAAGATTTCAGGAGTCTTTAGAGATTTCTTTCACCAGAATAGGGTGCGTGTGGTCATGGAGACATGGAAATGGATTGACTGATGCCTCAGGATGCCTCCCAGCCCTACATTATTGCATTAGACATCATGATTCAGAAGTCATACACTGGGACCAGATTTCCTTGGTAGGCTAATTGGCTAAGTGATATGACCAAATTTAGTGAGCCTTGCCTTATTTTTTTCACCAAGGGTCAAAAGACTTGCCTGTTCAGCAGCAGCCTAAGACGAGGTGATTCAGTCATGAATAAGTGTTTCAGAGACACTTGGAAGAGAGTCAAGTGGGTCTGCAAACCTCAGGAGGCATGGTGCTTTAGCCCAGTAGTCTAATATGAACTTACCAGGTGGGCACAGACAGACTTAGGCTGGCAAGTGGACCTTGATTTTGTAAGGGGTTTATTTCTTCAGGGAGCCATCTGTCACAGTCATGGGAAGGCAGCGTGCTGTCTCTCTGAGATCCTATTAACCCCGAGCACTTAGTGCCTCCTGCCTTTTACCTCCTATGATACAGTGGATAACCCACCACATGTTCTGTGTGTGGAACATGGAACTGATTCTGGGGAGTAGAGAAGCTTCCTACTTCCCCTTCTCTCTTTTTTTTAGATTCCCCCTTAACGTGCTGTCCCGGGCAGGGTTTATAAGAGTTAATACATACACACTGACTGGTTAGTTGGTTGGACGAATGCTTGTAGGCATGCCTGGATGAGTGTGTGGATGAATGGATGTTCAAGGTGAAAAGAAGTGTGCGACTGGATGGGATTAGAGAGTGAAAGGATAGAAGGAAAGAAAGTGAAGATGAAAGGAGAGAGTCAGGATGGAAGGGCAGATGGTCAAAGGCGAGTTCCTTTCCTGCTGGGCCTCTTCTGAGTGCAGAGACTAAACCTCTGTCTCAGGGCCATTGCTAACACAGCATTTATCAAATACCAATTCTGAGGGGAGTGTCTCAAATATAATGTCTGAGGCCCAGGCATCAAAGATTTTATTCTTTATTCTAAGAGTTCCTGATCTTTGACATCCTCAGATTGTACTGGCTTTTCAATTTGATAGGATGAAAATGAGTTCTATCTCTGACCTGATGGTAGGCTGTAGATTGCGAAGCTCTTCCAGAAGGTGGTACGTGGTGAACGTTCATCCTTTCTGCTTCCTCTGGTGACCAGTGTGGCCTCATGTGTCTGTGTCCACAGCACCCCATTGTTTTTGTACATGCCACCTTGTGTCTTTGCCTCTCTGCCTATCCCCATGTGTCCTCTCCATGCTTGTCTGTCCATATGTGCACATATATCTTTTAGACTTGAGCCTTCTTTTCCTGTCACCTGCCAGTCATTCCCTTTGCCACCAGGTCCAGTGGGTTGCTGCATTGTCTCTTCCATTCCCTGCAGTAACAGTTGCTTCCTGTCATCCATCAGCTGACACAGCTTTTCCTCTCAGTGCTGAAGACCATCTTCCTCGGGGGTGGCAAGACCCTCCTTGAAACACGGAACTTGTACCCTGCTGTTTGAAGTGCCCCTCCTCCTCTCTTTTCCTGGCATGCTGAGATCTCCCGAGCCTATCTTAATTCTTGACATCAGTGGACCCATTGTGAAAGATATCGGAGAATTGGTGCAGTGGAGAATGGTGGTAGTGTGGTGGGAAAGATAATGTAGCCCCCAGCTAGGGCCTCGTAGCAAAAGGAATGACTGACGGTGAAAGATAAGGAAGGAACAATTCTTAAAGATGTATGTGGACACAGGCTGCCTTGGGTTTAACTCTGACTCTATCCTTTACCAGCTAATTGATTTTGGGCAACTCACTTCACTAGAAGCAGGGTAATAAAAGCTCCTACTTCACAGCACCCTTGTGAAGATTAAATGAACTAATATGTACAAAGTGCTTGGCACATAGTAAACATTCAATAATGGGGGGCTAACGCAGTGATAATACTGGTGGTTGAGTGGTAGAACTCTCATTTTTGTGTAGAAGACCTGGGGTGGATTCCCAGCCCAAGTACATCATGTATCAGTGGAAGCTTGTGTCAGTGTTGCTATGATGTTGAACAGGTTTTATCAGAGCTCTCAGGATAAAATGGGTGAGGATAAAGAAATGGTGATACAATTCCAGTCAGTCATTGGAAACTCTGTGGCTCATGATGGTGGGATCTGCAAACAGCATGGGAATGATGTAGGGCCAGGCAACACTTTACCCATTGTGCCCTGAGATCACCATGTTGTTGTTATGTGCCATCGAGTCACCTGTGACTCATCTTTGTACAACAGTTCCGAAACCTGCCCTGTTCTGAGCCAGTCTCACTGACTCCAACACACGTAATTCCAGTGCCCCAGTTACTATGTCAATCCATCTCATCAGGATCTTTCTCTCCTGGGTTGTCTTGCCATCCTTCCAAGCATGATGTCCTTCTCCAAGGACTGGTCCCTCCTGGCCACGTGCCCGAAGTATGTGAGACAAAGCTTCAAAATCCTTGCCTCCAAGAAAAACCTTGGTTTTACCCTCTTCCAAGACAGACTTATTTGTTCTCCTGGCAGTCCATGGTATGCTCAATACTCTTCAACACCACCATGGCTCAAACACCATGAGCCAGGAACAACTCAGCCATCACCAACACATCTTCCTGAATGTGATGGTAGTGATAATTGTGGTAATGGTGTGACGATGTTGCCTTTCTCAGTCAAGTTCATGACTAGGAAACTCTGTGCATAAAGTCGTTTCCTTGTTGCCACACGCCCACACTAGCATCGTTTGCTCTTTTGTAGTGAAAGCGATGTCAAACAACTCTGGGTGCAGCTGAAGAAAGACGAACCTCATCTACTGTCCAACTTTGAGGATTTTCTGACCAGGATCTTCTCACAGCTCCAAGAAGCCCATGAGGAGAAGAATGAATTAGAATTCGCTTTGAGAAAGTAAGTACCAGTTTCAGCTGCTCTTTGTAAATATATATAAGAAATAGTAATACAAAACATGGCTTCTGTTATATCTTCTACCAAAATATTCCATGGTGTCTGCATAGGTTGGACTATTGTTATGAACCATCGAGTTACCTGTGACTTATAGTGACCCTATGAATAGCTCTGAAGCCTGTCCTCTCTTAAGCCAATTTCATTGTCTCTGACAGATCTATCCCCATTACCCCAGTTACTGAGTCAATCCATCTAACCCTGGGTCTTCCTCTCTTGCTCTGTCCCACCACCCCTCCAAGTATGATTTCCTTCTCCAAGGCCTGGTCCCTCCTGGCAACATGCCTAAAATATGTGAGATGGAGCTTCAAAATCCTTGCCTCCAAGGAGCATCTTGGTCTCATCTTCTCTAGATCCTACAAGTTTGTTGTCTTAGCAGTCCATGGTATTTCCAATACTCTTCTCCAGCACCACAACTCAAAAGCATTGGTCTTTCCCTTATCATAATTAGTCATTGTCCAGCTATTTGATGCCTAGCAAGTGATTGCAAAAACCATGTTGGATAAGTGCACCTTAGTCTTTAGACTGTTATCATTGCTCTTTAGTACTCTGGAGAGGTCCCTGACAGCAGATGTTCTGAATGCAATTTGTTTTTTGATGTCCTAATTGATGGTGCCAAGAGTGTTGATTGTAGAGCAAATAAAATCTCAATCTCTTCTCCATCTACCATGTTGCTGCCAGTTGGCCGAGTGGTGAGAAGCTTTATTTTCTTGATACTTCAATCTGAATTGAAGGTCGTAGCCCTTTACTTTCTGCATCAAACACCTCAGGTTCTCCACAGTTTCAGGAAGCAAGGTTGTGCCATCTGCATAACACGGATTGTTGATGAGTCTTCCTCCAATCTTGACGCCACATTTCTCTTCATAGAGCCTAGCCTCTGGGATAATCTGTTCTGCATATAGATTGAAAAGGTATGGAGATAGGACACATGCCTGGTGTACACCCTTCCCAATGTTGAACCATGCAGTGTTTCCTTGCTCCGTTCTCATGACTGCCTCCTGGTCCAAATATAGGTTTTGCATAAGCACAATCAAGTGTTCTGGGATTCCCATTCTTGTCAGAGTCAGCCACAATCTGTTGTGGTCCACACAGTCCAATGTCTTTGCATAGTCAATCAAACACCGATAGACATTCCTCTGGTACTCCCTGCCTTCGGCCAAGATCCATCTAACATTAGCTATAATATCCCTAGTACCATGGCCTCTTCTAAACCTAGCCTTCTTCCTTCATCATCACAGACTCTTGCTCATACATTGTTTCACAAAATTCTTCTGTGTCCACCAATTCCTTTTAGTACAATGACTCCATATACTTTTTCCATCTTCTTTTAATACTTCCTGGATTATTTAATATTCTGCCCAAACATCCTTAAGTATTACAACTCAAGGCTTGGATTTGTTCTTTAGTTCCTTCGGCTTAAGAAATGCTGAGCTAGTTCAACCCCTTTGATTTTCTGACTCCAGCTCTTTGTACATTTCATTGTAATACTTTACTTTGTCTTCCTGTGCTGCCCTTTGAAATCTTCTGCTCAGCTCCTTAGGAACTTGATTTCTTCCTTTTGCTTTGGCTTCTTGGCACTCTGATACAATATTCAGAGTCTCTTCTGACATCCATCTTGGTATTTTCTTCCCCCTCTGTTTTTGTAATGACCTTTTGCATTCTTCCTGGATGATATTCTTGATAAGGATTTTGTATAAGCACAGTTAAGTGTTCTGGGATTCCTATTTTTCTCAAGGTTAGCCACAATTTGTTATGTTTCACACAGTCAAATGTCTTTGCATAGACAATAAAACACAGATAGACATTCCTCTCTGTTTTCAGGTAAAATCTATTTAACATAGTGCCATGGCCTCTTCTAAACTCAGGTCAAATCTGGCAGGTGACAGTCATATTTTTTTTAAGCCTTCATGATGTTTATTAACCATTCACCAAATTCCAAACAGATAGATCTGGTGATGTAATCCACAGGGAGTTGGACTGTTAACCCAAACCCAAATGCCAAGCTTCTCTGGGGATGGGAATCCACCATAGGCTCTGAGTAAGAAAGAAGGGCCAACTTCTCCCATATGGATTACCACCTCGGAGAGGCCAGCTATGAGTCTATTCTGACTCCATGGCAATGAGTTTGAGTTTATACGGTAAGTATTAGTATATTATTCTAAATATCTTATATACACAAATTCACTTCATTTTCATGACTCTGAGATACACAAAGCACTGAATGATTAAGTACAAGTATGCCTTGGAGATATTGTGGGTTCAATTTCAAATCACTGCAGTAAAACAAACAAGACAACAAGTAAAATGTGTACAAGAGTCCAAAGAGGGAAGGGCAAGGAGGAGAGTGGTGAAGGGGTCAGGGCGGGAATCATGAGGTCCCAGAGTTTGGTGGGCGAAAAGAAGTGATGAAGGAATTAGAAAAGATCCAGTGGGACCCAAAAAGGCAGGGTAATGGTGGGCATGCATCAATGGTGATAGATTTTATAAAACACAATGTATGGGAATGATCTTATGAAACACAATTTACGTAGAGCAATGTGTGGAACACAATATAAAAGGAAACATTTGTTTACTAATTTTGTATGCCAACCAACAAAAATGAAAAATCATGAAAACAAAGTGGTATTATTCAGGTTGGTTTTTGTAAAGATTATGTATGCACTATACTACAGTAAGTATACACTAACATTAAAGAAATCTTTTGAAATATTGTGAGAATTACCTAAATTTACCCTGCGTACATGAAGTGAACACATGCTGTTTGGGGAAATGGTACTGACAGACTTCCTTGCTGTAGTGTTGTCACAAACTTATGATTCCATGAAAAGGAAATGCACTATTTACAAAATGTAAGAAAAGTGAAATGCAATTAAATGAGGCATAGTTTGTAACTTGCCCCAGATTATAGAGTTCATGAGTGACAACAACAAGTTTCATAGACAATCTGACACTTGAAACCCTGAGGAATTCACTATTCCCATCACTGGGCAGTAATGCCCGAGCATACTAGGGCCTACCCACCAATGGAGGACCAGCCTTGCTTGGCCTTAAGTAAAGTTTCTTTAAGGTGGTTCATAACTCCCCCCCTGAAAATCCCACTCCTGGCTTCTTATCCCCATCACAGTTGCTCATCTCTTTGGCTGTCCTTTTTGTCCCCAACCCTCTTCCAATTCTTAGTGATTTTTCAAGATTTCTCTTGCCCTCACAGAGGCAGGGAAGGCACACCTACAGACTGGGAACAAACATTTGGTACTACCTCTCAGACAAGAGTCTCATAACCATAACCAAAGTTTATAGAATACTCCTAGGCCTCCACAAGATAAAGACTGATAACCCAATTACAACATGAGCAAAAGACATGGAAAAAATTTTCACAGAGGAAGATATTTGAATGTTTGAATGGCAAACAGATACATGAAGAAATGCTCCAAATCACTGGCGGTAAGAGAAGTGCAAATCAAAACCATAATGAGGTACCATCTCACTCCAGTAACAGTGGCAAAGATTAACAGGACAGTAAGTAATAAATGTTGAAGAGGATTTAGTGAGAAAGGAACTCTTATACATTGTTAGTGGGATTTTAAAATGGTGCAATCATTCTAGAAGGCAGTTTGTTGCTTCCTCGAAAAGCTGAACATAGAAATTCCATATGAACCAGCTATTCCACTACTTGGAATTTATCCTGAGAAAATAAAGAATTGAGGCACAAACTTAGGAGATTTGTACATTAATGTTCATAGCAGCATTATTCACAGTCACAAGAACATGGAAACAGCCAAAATGTCCAACCACAATCAAATGATTGAGAAATTATGGTACATTCACACAATGGAATACTATACAACACAAAGGAGCAATGATTCTGTAAATTATGGCCTAACTTAGGAGGGACTGGATAGCATTATGCTATGAGAACTAGCTCAGTCCCACAAGGATAAATATTGTATAAAACTATTATTGTAGAATGAGTATAAGGATCTAAGGGGGTGGGATAGGTTGGAAGCAGAGGGATGAAGATGTGCAGGGGGTTGGGGGATTAATCATGGGGTTGTACAATTTGATGGGTGAGAGGGTGAGGGAAATTGAAAGAATTTGTTCTTGAAAACAAATATATTCAAATTTTGTAAATAAACTAGTAGAAAATTAAAAAATTATCACAGAAATTAAAAAGAACACCTGAAGACATTTCTAAAAGGCTGAACCAGAGTGGGCACCTGCATGGTTTTCAAAATAGAGGCCATGTCTTATCGGTCCTAATTCCTGTATGAGAATGTATGTGCTATTAGGGAAACTGGGCTTATGTGCAATCATTTAGCAATAGGCTCTCAGCTTATGAGACACAGAATTAGATGCAGTACAATCTAGGTCAATCTTTTCAGTATAATCCCAAAGATGGGGCCAAATTCCTGAACAAGGTTTAAGTAGAATTTAAAGACACATGGAGGTGAGCTGCAGTCTTGTTCACACTCAGACTTGCTCATATTCTGTCCCTAACAATTCCAGGACTGGGAGATTCCACAGACTATTGTCTGCTTAGTTCAGATGCATCCAAGCAAAGCTCTGTGGTACCACCTGTGTGACAGTGCCTCCAACTCTATGCTGAATTCTGCCCCTAAGGCACTTAGATTATTTTCCTCTTTGCTATTATAAAGAATGCTGCAATGGACATGGGTGTGTTCATGTCCTGGCTCTTATTTCTTTGGAATATATGCTTAGTAGTCGTCTTGATTGATCAATAGTAGTTCTATTTTGAACTTTTTAAATAAGGGTCCATAGTATTTTGCACACTGGTTACACCATATTACAGCTCCACCAGCAGGGAATGAGAGTTCCAATTTCTCCACATGCTGGTGATCATTTGTTGTTTTCTGTCTTAGTAAACATTTTTTTTACTAGTGAACTATTCTTGAACGCATTGCCATTTTGATTTACATCCCTCTAATGGC